TTACTGTATATATTATGTACGATGCTGTTCATACGTAGTATATACCCATGTATTTATGCATGCATGCATGCATGCATGCATGCATGTATGTATGTGTGTATGTGTATGTGTATGTGGATGTGTATGTGTACATGTAGGTGTATGTGTATGTGTATGTGTATGTGTATGTGTATGTGTATGTGTATGTGTATGTGTATGTGTATGTGTATGTGTATATATGTGTGTGTGTGTGTTTGTGTATTTGTGTAGTGTGTATGTGTGTATGTGCGTATGATATGTGTATGATATGTGTATGCATGCATGTATGTGTATGTATGTGTATGTGTATGTGTATGTATGTATGTATGTATGTATGTACGTATGTATGTATGTATGTACGTATGTATTTATTTAGATATGTAGGCTAGTAGGTGTATGTATATTTTTATACGTATACATGTATGTTCTTATGTTTTGTTTTGGTATGTTATGACATTTTAACCCTGCTGTCTTATGCTACGCCGTGTTATGGTGCGGTATGTTGTGTAATGTTATGCTATGCTAGGGTGTGCTTATGTTGCGTTATGTTGCATTATGTTATGTTATGTTATGTTATGTTATGTTATGTTATGTTATGTTATGTTAGGTTATGTTATGTGATGTTATGTTATGTCATGCTATGTTATGTTATGTTATGATATGTCATGTTATGTTGTGTTATGTTATGTTATGTTATGTTATGTTATGTTATGTTATGTCATGTTATGTTATGTCATGTTATGTTATGTTATGTTATGTTATGCTATGCTATGCTATGTTATGTTATGTTATGTTGTGCTATGGTATGTTATGCTATGTTATGTTATGCTATGCTATGTTTTGTTATGTTATGCTATGTTATGTTATGTTATGTTTTGTTATGTTATGTTATGTTATGTTATGTTATGTTATGTTATGTTATGTTATGTTATGTTATGTTATGTTATGTTATGTTATGTTATGTGAAGTTATGTTATGTTGTGCTATGTTATGTTATGTTATGTTATGTTATGTTATGTTATGTTATGTTATGTTATGTTATGTTATGTTATGTTATGTTATGTTATGTATGCATGTGTAGGTATGTTGTCAGATTCGCATGCCGGTTTCTTTAAAGAGTTAGGAGTTCTTACACAAACTCGTTTTTGCACGGAGTTCCTTTGATGTCAAGATGTAGAGTTCTGCACTGTGTTTTGGAGGCTGAGGGTGGGCCGTATTGTCCTGTAACATGTTGTTTCTATGCGCCACACCATGTAAGTAACCTCCAGAAGATTGTAAAGACTTCCCGATGCGGCATGTGAAGCAGCGACTACAATTGGAGTCTTTTTCACCGCGCCACAACGAAGACCCAACTTTATGTCTCACTGCTGCGTGTAGAAGCAAGTGACCCGGAAGGCATAAAGATGGCCTCATGTGCAGCACAGGGTGGCGTGCCTGTTCGAGACATGTAGTTAGTTCTGTAAGTAGGGGCCCTTTTGAGGTCCTTTTGATAAGGGTGCCGTACTAAATTGGGGATCTAAAAAGGACCCTAATTTAGAGAACTACCCATGTCTGAGAGCAAAATTTGCATCGTCGGATGCCTTGGTACAGGACAATACTTCGTTCGGTCATGGTTCGGGTTCCCGGCACCAACTATCAAGATACAGAGGTGGAAGAGAAAGGGTCAACTATGAAATGACGTGGCAAGACGCACGCAGAAATTAAAACAGGTAGAAAACAACAAACAGAAAAAGGATCATAATCTGCACTGCACTTCTTAAGACGGCCGGCTCTGCTGCACTAGTAAGTAGATGATGCAGAAGCCCAGTCCGAACTTGAGCAACAGAGTCAGAGGGTGTGACCCGAAACCCTAAACTCTAAACCCTATGCATGTGTGTGTGTGTGTGTGTGTCTGTGTGCCAGGATGCAGGTCGGATTCCGAAACGTTACAAGTGGGTAGCTCTCTAAATCAGGGGTCCCTTTTGGGGCTCCTTAAAGGGATCTATGAGGGTTTCTAGAGGGAGCTTACAGGGGACTATAACGATAGCTCTCTAAATCAGGGTCCCTTTTTGGGTCCCGAATATAGTACGGCACGCGTACAAAAAAGAGCCCGAAAGGGACCTCAAATGTTGGCATGTGGGGACACAAGCAGCCTGTCGAGTGGAGTTTAGGTTCGGGGGTTTAGGGTTGGAGGTTTCGGGTTTAGGATTTTGGGGATGAAGGGGTTGAGGTTTAGGAATCAAGGGGACATGCGGAAAGACATTACGGAAGTCTCAAAGAAGTGAGGACCATCTCCATTTTCTTTTCTTTAGGCCTTTGGTGCAATGGGGGGGTCTCGTGGGGGGTGCATTTTTGTCGGCTAGAGAATTCTGCTGGTGTAGAGAGCTAAACCCTAAACCCCAAACCCTGAACCCTAAACCGTGAACCCTGAACCCTGAACCCTGAACTCTAAACCCTAAACCCTAAACCCTACCTCCTAAACCCCCTAAACCCCCTGAACCCTGAACCCCAAGCCCCCTAAACCCCCTAAACCTCGTAAACGCCCTAAACCCCCTTAACCCCCTAAACCCCCTAAACCCTAAACTCCCTGAACACTAAACCCCCTAAACCCTAAGCCCGAACCCTAAACCCTACACCCTGAATCCTAAACCCTGAACCCTAAACCCTAAACCCCCTAAACCCTAAACCCTCAACCGCCTCAACCCTAAACCCCACAAACCCCCTCAACCCAAACCCCATCAACCCTAAACCCCTTGAGCTCCAGGCTTTCTGCCTTCATTCGATCCCTCGACTCGAAAGAGTCTCCCACCTTTTGAGGACTTCTGAAAGCTCCGCTTGGAGCTTCATGTAGGGCTCCTTTCAAGGCGCTATAGGGTTCATGTAGGGTTCCTTTAAAGGTGATCTAGGGTATAGGGGGTTAGGGTTTAAGGTTGCGGGTTTAAGATTTAGGGTTTAAGGTACTTATAAGCGGAGTTATAAGTCCCCGAAGAAGGGGGATAATTATAGTTACCCTACTTATGACCCCACTTAAAATTGCCCAGGGTTTAGGGCCGTTTAGGGTTAGCGTTTAGGAGTGGCATGGTTTTTACTATGCCATACTATACTATACTATACTATACTATGCTATACCATACTATGCTATGCTATACAACAATATCCTATACTAAACTCTACTCTACTCTGCTATACTATACTTTACTTTACTGGAGTAGACTAGACTAGACGAGACTATACTGTACCATACTATACTATACTCTATACTCTATACTCTATACTCTATACTATACTATACACTATACTATACACTATACTATACACTATACTATACACTAGACTAGACTACACTAGACTAGACTAGACTAGGCTAGACTATGCTAGACTAGACTGTACTATACTAGACTATACTATACGATGCTATGCTCTACTCTACTGCACTCTACTCTACTATACTATACTATACTATACTATACTATACTATACTATACTATACTATACTATACTATACTATAGTCTAATATACTGACCCTAAACCCTAAACCCTAAACCCTCAACCGTAAACCCTAAACCCTAAACCCTAAACCTAAACCCTAAACCCTAAACCGTTACTAAGCTATAGGGTAAAAGCGTAACTTTCAGATGCCCCAGACCTTATGGGTAGTTGTCAAAATTATGGTCCCTTTTGGGGTACCCTAAATAATAGGTGCCGTATTATAATAAGGACCCAAAAAGGTCCCATAATTTTGACAGCCGACCTTTTCTCTGCTGCTGCACAGGCTTCAGTCGGGTAGGGCGAAGTGTGGCATGTCGTTTGCAACATGCAGGGCTTTGGGTTTAGGGTTCAGGGTTTAGGGTTTAGGGTTTAGGGTTTAGGGTTCAGGGTTTAGGGTTTAGGGTTTAGGGTTTAGGGCAGCACGTCTGATGAATGAAGTCCACAGTCACTTCTTTCCCGATAGCCCTGCCTGCGTTGTGTAGTTCCTTTAACGGTTTAGGGTTTAGGGTTTAGGAACCCTAAACCCTATAACCCCAAACCCCAAACCAGACGCCTTTGGAGCCCATGCAGTCCTTTATGGATGGCCTTGCTGGAAAGCGTGTCGTTCTCTCAGGCTGCGGAGGTGGATGTGATGTGCTGGGTACGTCGGTGATCTATCAGCAAATCCGGGGCATAGCAGAGACTGAGTTCTTGTTAAAGAAATCATTTTATCGTTAACTGAATAAGATCTATAGTAAACAACACGGTTTCTTTATTATGGTAACTTAGCTTAAACCCTAAACCCTAAATCCTAAATCCTAAACCCTACACCCTAAACCCTAAACCCTCAAACCCCAAACCCTACAACCCTAAACCCTAAACCCTAAACCCCCCAAACAGTAACACTCGCTCTATGTTAGTGTCTTCGAACCTTTAGGCCCCAATAACGGCTCCTCCTGGTAAGGAATTCCCAATGTGTATGCAGACGGAAAAGACCCCCCCCAAAAAAAAAAACAAAAAACAAACATGAACGAAGGAGAAGGTGATCTTCTTCAGCCTGTCTTTCACGGATGACAGGCTCCTCACTGCTACGACTCGGCAGGTCTCGGAGAAATGCTGGAAGGTGGAGCCTGGCAACGTAACTTGGTGGCAATTTTTAGGGCTTAGGGTTTAGGGTTTAGGGTTTAGGGTTTTAGGGTTTAGGGTTTAGGGTTTAGGGTTTAGGGTTTAAGGGTTTAGGGGAAAGGGTTTAGGCCTTAGGGAGACTGTAAAGTTTTCCTTATGGTTTCGATGAAGGTTCCCGTTCATAAATACTTTTCAGGGCCCCCGAAACTACAACCCAGGTAATGATTGCCGATGACCGACAGGAGCAGATTTATTTTCCAGAAGCCCGGATGGCAAATGCCATGGATGTTTCAATCTACACGCTCTCACACTTCGCAACCATTGCGCAGCACCTTGTCTGCTTTAATCCTTCTCATGACCGGGAACCTGGCTCTCAATGATCTCCTCTCCTGACCTTACCTACTTGGAGGTTCATGGGTAGTTATAAGTGGGGCTTTAAGTAGGGTAACTATAGTTATAACCCATATTAGGGGACTTATAACTCCACTTATAACTACCCATGAACCTCGAAGTAGGGTTCAGGATTTAGGGTTTAGGGCCTTCACTTCTAAAGACATGTGGTCCTTCTGTGGGGTGGTTGTGCGGTCATGCGTATGTTCAGGGGGAGGGTGGGGCCATTGAGTGATGGTACGATTCTACGAGGACCTGATGAAAACTTACGATCCCCATGCCTCACACCCTCGACACCCAAAACCACCCCAAGCCCTAAACCCTAAACCCTAAACCCTAAACCCTAAACCCCACTTCAAACCCGTGAAGCCCCCCGCCCCTCAAGGCGGGGCAATCGGCGAACCAGGGCTTCCCCAAACTGTCCCAGGTACACGGAGGGGTACAAAGCAGCGCTGTCGATGGAGTTTGGCAGCGGATCACGCGGGGCTGATGTGCTGATGCTGGGCTTGCTTTAACTGATGAAAATCGTAGGAGGCTTCAGTGGGGTTTCGGCAACTGGGGGTTTCGTAGGTTCATGCTCGGGACGAGCTTTATATGATTACAACGGCCTTTCTGTCTTCCACTCATTCATTCTAATCTCGGCAATAGTTGAGGATCCTTTGCGATGGCGGCTGCGACGTTCTCCTGACGGGAGCTGAGTCAGTGCCTCAGGAGGGAGGTATTCTTCTCGCACTAAGGACACGTAGTATAGGGGCGTCAATATTTATCTATCCTATTTTGGGGGGTTCCTTATTATCATTATAGTATAATATACCCCAAAACCCTATTGAAATTATTCAGGCCCTACATTACACGTAGGCCGTATAAGTACTTGCCACCATATGGAAGATGTAAGTCGATTCTGTTTTGCGTCGCAAGTACCCTGGTTTGGGTATAGACTGGGTTTAGGGTTTAGGGTTTAGGGTTTAGGGTTTAGGGTTTATTGTTTAGGGTTTAGACTTGAGTCAATTAAGCCCTTAATTACAACTGATGCTCCGCTGAGTCTCTAAGTAGCAGCGCTGGAAGTAACAAATCAGGAGTCCTCCTCTCAACCATGACAGGTGTGTACTGATATAAGCACCCCCTCATGATCTATTTACATGCTAGATTCAAATGCTCAGTTAGTAAAGGACAAGCATAATAAAGTAGAACATAATCCAACTTAACAAGACACAAGGCAGTCATCAGAAGGCATAACTAACAGTATCTCACTATGCATATAAGCCAGCTCAATATGTGAACGCATGATTGAAGAAATGAAGATGCAAGAGAACGACAGGACGATTGAACGAGGGAACGCAGCGGGAGCGACAGTCACAGCGAGAGTCCTTGCAGATGGCACTGGAGCACAGGCGCTGCCTCAGCAGTGGTGCAGTGGTTGGCGCCGGTGTGGCCATCCTGCTAAGGTAGCGCCTGTGCACCGGCGGCATCTGCTCAGAGAACGAATGAGCAAATCAATGAGCGAGCTATATATGTCTAAATGCGAACACATGTACCTGTATAGGTATATATGCATGCGCGTCTACCTGCAGATGTAAAAGAGCCTGTGCGATTTATGTACATATGTATCAGAACACTTGTGTATATGCACATGCCGATGAGTATGTCCATGTATATGTATGTGCTTATGGATATGTTCTGGTATGTCTGTGCATATGCATTCTCATATGCATGTATCATGATCATGTATGTTATATATATCTGCCGCTCTCTCTCTCTCTCTGCAGGTGTGTGTGTATGTAGTACTTGCGCATGTAACAATGTAGGTCTATCTGCCTGTCTGTCTGTCAGTCTCTATGTATGTGCCTATGTTTACATACATGTGTATACATAAAAAAACCATACTATATATGCCTGTATACGTAGGCATAACAGCATAGCTACATAACTACACATGTGCACACACACGCACGCGCATCCGTTGTGTAGATTGCACTGCGGCCCCGACACTGTCCTTTTTCAGGTCGTGCCTGGCAACACCTGTGGAAGACATGTCGCACCTGAAGGCTGGGTCCAGTCGCCTTGTTTTTTTCAAGAGCATCTGGGTTGTGAGAGTTCGAGGAGGAAGTACCGAGAAAACGCATCCTGCGCATAGGAATGCCCATGTTCTAACCAGGTTATGATGTAACCGAAGGTCTCTTACCTCGCATCCGGGTTTCGGGCTGAGTGCTGGGGTAATGTAGAGTTCTGAAATGAATGGCCAGCAGTCTAGTCTATTTTTTGAGGCCCCTGTATTGCCCGAGTGTCGAATCCGTGGCCTACCATGCATGCTTCTAGCATTATACGTGTTATCTAAGCATATATGCTGTGCAGCATAAGAACCACGCAGGCAAAGAAGAACAGAGTGGAGCCAGGCAGTGCGTACGAATGCATGTGTAAACATGTATGTGTACAAACATGCACACAGACATATGAAGGAAATGTATATGCATATGTATATGTATACAGTTAACTACATCTGTGTTTGTGTCTACTTTTTCACACGATGTATCTACATAAACATATACATAACACATGCATATATGCGTATATACATACATGCATGCATGCATGCATTGTCATACCCAAATGTGCACGGATATTTATAAGCATTCATATTATGGTTGTCCGCATACATATAAATATATGCATGTGGATGTAGATACATGTATGTACAGGTGCAGACGGGTGGCAACATAATGTGCAACAAAGCAAATGGATCAGCGAAGAAGGGATGCATGCGATACATGAAAACATATATCTATATGTTTTTTCATATACACACGCAGGATAACTCAATAAGTCCAAAAGCTAGACTGAGTGTGTGTATATATATATATATATGCACATGTTCATACGGACGCGTCAGATACATACATACATACATACATACATACATACAAACATACATGCATGCATGCATGCATGCATGCATGCATGCATACATGCATACATGCATACATGCATACATGCATACATGCATACATGCACATGTACGTATACACACATACATACATACATGATATGTTAGTATAAGTTCACGAACAAACAAGTGAATATGTTAGTGTATATGTATGTATGTATAAACATGTACGCAATAACAACCACGTACACAACACGTACATATATATGTATATATACACACATAAAAGCATGTATGTAGGTATTTTTATGCATACATATATATATATATATATGCACATGTACATAGATATATAAATGCCAGTGTCCCTCTGCTGAGGCTGTCCAAGGCTGAGTTTGAGTCTATCTGCCCGCAGCGGCAGATATATATACATAAATACATATACAAATCTTCGGACGCGCCTAAGTCAGAACCCTTTTGAACTGATCAGGGCGAAGTGAGAACATTGATCGGGGGTCTGCTGTAGCATTGAGGCCGGAATCATTATTCATAGTATACCTCAACACTCCATTCCAAGGTGCCTGTATTCTATATTGCATGTAGGAAGGCAGCCAGAGCCAGGGAGTTTACTGTCGGTCCTGGATCGAGGTATTGACGCTTTCGGGCTGTTAGCCTTATTCCTAGGCCACAGACCCTAATTAAGCCCTGTGCCTAAGCCCGAAACCATGAGCCCTATCACCCGTAAGCCCTAAACCCAATGCCCCAGAAGCCTAAAGCCCAAGCCCACTGAGGTTCGGAGCTGAAGCCGTGCACCGGATAGGGTTGATCAGTACCGTCGAGGGTTTCGCCGGAGTGACAAAAGCCTAAACCCTAAACACCGGCAGCCCGCGCTACCTCCGAAACTTTACACCTTAGCCCTAGCCGAAGCGGTTTCGAGTTTAGGGTCACCTATAATGAGTTCTTGCCAAAGAAGTAGGTGCCTAGTACGTACCTAGTACCTTGAAGCTACCATGACCTAACTTACTGGAGGGCTCTATATCCTAAACCCCAAAGGCAGTTCTGCCCCCCAAACCCTAAACCCTAAACTCTGTAGACCCCAAAGGCAGTGCTCCCCCCCAAACCCTAAAGCCTAAACTCTAAACCCCAAAGGCAGTGCTGCCCCCCCAAACCCTAAAGCCTAAACTCTAAACCCCCAGGGAAGTGCTGCCCCCCAAACCCTAAACCCTGAACTCTAAACCCCAAAGGCAATGCTCCCCCTCAAACCCCAAAGGCTAAGCTCGAAACCCCAAAGGCAGTGCTGCCCCCCAAACCCTAAACCCTAAACTCTATACCCCAAAGGCAGTGCTGCCCCCCAAACCTGAAAGCCCAAGCTCGAAACCCCAAAGGCAGTGCTGGCCCCCCTACACCCTAAACCCTAAACTCTATACCCCAAAGGCAGTGCTGGCCCCCCTACACCCTAAACCCTAAACTCTATACCCCAAAGGCCGCGCTGCCCCCCCAAGCCCTAAAGCCTTAACTCGAAGCCCCAAAGGCAGTGCTGCCCCCCCCACACCCTAAACCCTAAATTCCTTTTCTCCAAAGGCCCCAAGCCCTAAAGCCTAAGCTCGAAACCCCAAAGGCAGTGCTGCCCCTGGACATCCCAGAAAAGTACGTGGCTGCCCTCGGGGTGAATATCGACTGCGGGCACGGTGTTGTACAGGAGGAGCTTCTAAAGGTTTAGGGTTTAGGGTTATAGGGTTTAGGGTTTAGGGTTTAGGGTTTAGGGTTTAGGGTTTAGGGTTTAGGGTTTAGGGTTTAGGGTTTTGTGTTCTTTATAAGGGTGATAGGAGGGTGCTGTAGTGTTTCCAATGCAGGGGTTTCCCTAAACTTTAAACCCTAAACCGGGGTTTGAGGGCTGTGGACTTTGGAGTGTAGCTTTAGTTTCTGGACTCGGGGATTGAGGGTTTAGGCTCTAGTTCCGCCGTTTAGGGTTTAGGGGTTTAGGGTTTAGGGTTTAGGGTCTAGGGTGGTACACACCAGTTGACGGTTGCCAGCGACGCGGCTTGTGCTGTGGTGCGGTGCGCATTTTGCGCTCTCGTCCCATGATGTACCAAGGTTCCGTCTGGCCCCGGCCAGATCCAATCCAATTCCAATACATTGCCTTTCGTTTGGATCCCCCCCAGTACTTCCGGGAAAGCATTCCCGCCAGTACAGGGGGGAAAGCATTGACGCAGTAGCCCAGAAGCCCTAAATCTCTAGATGTGTTCTATCAGGTCTCTACAAGAGGTCTAGGATGTAGATTTTCGGGTTTAGGGTTTAAGGCTCTAGGGTTTAGTGTTTCAGCACACATGTGCCTCAGGGTTTGAGTCTGGCCTGAGCCCGCTTGTTGGAAGGTAACGTAAGGCTGCGTTTCGCAAGCTTCCAGGAGCTTGACCGGCGCTTGGTGGACATGCAGTGTTCCGGAACGATGATTTGCAGCTACCCATTGACCATGCATGATGCTCCGGCGGTGTACTTTACTGACGTGGTCAACTTGGCTAATTATATCACCATGTTTTCCTTTTTTTGAAACAGTAAGCCACCCCGACTGCTCAACCAAAAACGTTCTGTTTTCTCGTCTTGCTGCCTAAACACCAAAGCCTAACCTTCAAACCTAAACCCTAAACCCT